ATATAATATTATTATATTAGGTATAATCATTGTGCATCGTTGGTTTCCGTCCGCAAACTGAATATTGTACACTTATCGCATCACACATCGCACAATATATAATAATAATTTACAAATCACGCCACAAATGCCTAATATTAAGATATAAAAGTAGAATAATAATGCTAACACGACACTTTCCGAGACGTATTTTGTACGTATACGAAAAATCCCATCACCGCATCTATCTCGGTAATTATTACACCGTAGCCGCCCATCGTCGGTGGTAGTGACGCGACAGAATCTCTGCATTTCCGTCTTTTCTTGTACCTATATATATATACCAGGTCGGTGACCCTTCCGGTGTATTTTGTTGTTTTTCGTCTACCGTTGATGACCGTGTACCCTCTGCTGCGGAATGTGTGTCTTCCGATCTAGGTCAAGGCTCCTCTCGATTCCCGAGGCGATATCAATTGAGACGTAGAGATAGAGCAAAAAACAGGGGACCTATTATTGTGATGTGGTATATTACGATCGCCGACTTTTATTCCAAACACTAGTTGTCGCCGAGTGCACGTGATATTATATATAGATATTTCTATACTTGAGCCAAGGGTCCAACATGTCTTGCAGTAATTTTTCAAACAGGTGACTTTTCAACTGTACATTTAGATTTCATCGCTGCTCGGTTATATTGTTCAAATTTTCTAAGACGTTCGTTTCCTATGTATAATGTGCAGTATGAAGCTGCACAGTTCTAGGGTAGGTCGATTTATCTCACTCTTCTACGCTGTTCAGTCGCAATGCGATGAGTGATGACGACCATATAATATACTGCAACGACGTGTGCGGATCGGCAAAAAATAAAATTTCATTTTATAAGTACCTACCTATTATTATTGTTGTTATTATGTACGGGCACCAATGCCTAATAATATGTAGCCTTATGTAAATAATACATATCTATACGATTTAGATGGGTAATTATATGACTTATGTCAAGTATAATAACAAGTATATCCGCCTGGTGTGTACATTTTGTATTTGGGTTTTAATCGTGGTCTGCAAATCTCCCAAGGTCTCTTCCCCGAGTTCGGGCCTCCCGAAGTAAATTTTGTAGTAAAATTAACCGCACGCTACTCCTCCTCCGGTCACTCATCCGCCATTACGCATAGTATAATCGTTTAATCGATTTTAAATCTACATTAGACTATCATAAGTATATATTATAATGTGGTGTGTGAATAGATACTAGCTGACATATAAATATACACATATACACGGGCAACCACTCGCGTCTTAATTGCGTTTTTACGAAACAGCGCCATTTTTATTGCCATAAAATATAAGAATCTCAGGGTATTCGAGGTCGTAAGTGAATTTTGCGACCGGCTAAAATTTTTATTGCATGTGTGCTGCACGCGCCAAAGAAGAAAACAGAAAGCTCCTATGTGCATTTATCATCCGAATCTGTTGTATATATATTGTAATGCGATTTTTTTTTCTTGGATCCAGCGCAAGTTTTTTTTTCTCACATAGTCGTTATTCATTATATTACATCACATAAAAACACGCGCAATCAATTATCGTCTTACATAGTTTGTCTTGTTATTATATACATTTTGTTTCTTAGAAATAAAAAATATGTAAGTATCTAGTATTTATACACTATTACGAGTCGCATAAATCCAATAATACACCGTGTAATAAACGCAATTTATTCGGATAGAAACAAACAGCTTTGACAGAAACAACTACATAGGCGCGAGTCGAAATTAATTTCATAGTATAATATAAGGATAACAGGCATGCGATATGTATAATAAAAAATAATACATTTATTTATAAAATTATAATAGGTATTATATAACATTTTTTAATTGACGATTTTTCTAAATATATTATTATTCCAATAATATTATACTTCGCAACATCTCGTTCGAGTGCTTATATGTATTATACCCAATACCCATAGTATTAATAATTTTAATTGCTTAATGCGAAAACTGCAATATTATAGTATTATGCTGTGCATTGATGGTTATTATTGGTTATAATCTATACCTATTACAAAAAAAGTAATTAGCTATACAACTTATAAGTATGATATAATAACACAGGTACCTACTCTATATGAGTTTGGCACGAATGAGCATCGACTAACTACGATTAAATTAGGTAATTAAGGGGATTCGATACCGTGATTTTCTGTTTTTGTCTAACACACGCGCGACATAGTATTTTAGATGTGTTTTTTGCCAAACATACCAATTGATCTAATGAAGCGATACGAATTCTGAAAACAGATTTGAATTTGTCGTCAAGTCTACTTGAAATCGACTTTCCCACATTTTTGATATTATCCCCTAAATTTTTTTAAATGTCATATTCAAAAAGAGTATTTAAAAATTCTGTTATTTCAATTTTTGGAGAAGTTTAAATCAAAAAATCAAAAATGTGGGAAAGTCGATTTCAAGTAGACTTGACGACAAATTAAAATCTGTTTTCAGAAATCTTATCGCTTCAATAGATCAATTGGAATGTTTGGCAAAAAACACGTCTAAAATACTATGTCACGCGTGTGTTAGACAAAAACAGAAAATCACGGTATCGAATCCCCTTAACATCGTTTAACCGATTCGTGTATGAAAAACATTTAACCGTATACACTGTTCGATGCGACGAGTATCGTATGTGGGGCGATAGGTTGGTAGATATAATCTATAATTTTTTTTTAACCTCGGGCGATAGATATTGTTTAAATTTATCTGTTCCTGTACCAGAACTTTTGCAGCTAAGTTGATAGAATCTATGCGAATGGGCAGGCCCCCCATTAAATGTTGGGCCCATGTTCTAAATATTTTCGGCATTTCGTTGCTCTATTAAATATTATTAATATAAAATAAATATTTCTATCAAAATTTCATAATTTTGAAAATTACTAATTTATTTCAACGGGCCCCTGAACTCCGTGTATAACAGCCCCCCCCCCATAGGTTTCGGTGACAAGAGAACCCGTAATACGACGTGTATACTGTATAATAATATAATATAAAACGGCAGAGCAGAAATTTGAGGGCAGTTATTTCTTAAATGTCAATCAGTCTGTATATAATATAATATAGGTATTATATCGTGTCACGTACCGTAAGTAGAATATTCATTTTGCGACCTCGATCCAAATATTGTAATAATTATTGTATTACCTAAATGTACGCGAAAGCTGAACAGGTAAAAAAAAACGCAGTCGTCATTATAATATTATAATTATATTATTATATATATATAATATTATACTGGCGCAAACCTCAACGCACGCGATATATAAGGTATATAATACCATTGATTATAAATACTAGTATTTATAATCAATGATAGTACTATATACATTATATTATATAGGTTTTATTATGGCGCGGCGGTGATGCAGTCGTACCTACCCTCTCTATACCTAAATCTGTATGTGTGACGATGACGCGTGCGCTGCTCCGCCGAGGTGACATTGGCGTAAGAACAATAAATTATTATTATTATTACTGTTACCATCGTGTACACCTATATATATTTATATATATATAATTATATATATTTATATATATATATAATTATATACGCCAAATTTGTAAAGTGTTCACATTTTAATGTCATACGCTGCACCCTCATCTGATAAAACCTAGGCCCGGCGGCGCTATGAAGCTGATGTACCTACATAATATAATATAACGATTGAACAATATTTTATTAACTTAATATAAATATTGCATATAACGTATAGGTAATATGAATATGTAAACCTATATAGTATAATATTGAATCGGTGCAGATATATATTATATAATATTATTATCATTATCCTTCACCGTGCGTATCATAGTAATGCCAAGTCATCACGATTTAATATATACATCATATCCCATGGAATATTTAGACACCTACCTATATAATATACCTAGGTCGTATTAGTGTACATACTATACGTGTACACTGTGCACTGCATCAGTGCTGGTGAGACGACAAACCCGAACCGTTTAATGAGTATAATAATTAATAATAATATTATGTTATTATGAAATGATATAATGACCGTTGTCAGCCCATCATATAGTGCAGCGAAATATAAACATCACACTATAGCACAGTCGTGGGTTTCGCGATCGTGTAAATATTTATAATATGAAGTCGCGTGAGTTTGCAGCGTATATACAAATTCGTATTATATATTATGATGTAGGTGTCAGTATATTTGTGTGTATTGTGTATAGAGGTTCCGTCGTCGGACGGCGACAGAGTTTAGGCGAAAAATTGTGCAATGAAAAAAAATTGGCAATGATAGTGTAATATATTCATAGAAATTTCTTTATTTGTGCAAGTTGTAGCTCTTTTCACCGCACATATTTATATATTTAATAGTTCACGAATATAATATTATAAGCTCCACGGTGGGCTCGTAATATGTCTTGGAAGCGCTCTGTATGCTGTGCGTGTGTGTTATCAGTGCATATTCATTATTTACGTTCGACTTTGTATAATACAAAATGTTGTTGACTACGGGTTTTGTTCTTTTGCTGTCAGGTCGCAGCTTTATGTAGGACTATTATTAAAGTATGATTATCGTATACAGAGCCCAAATCTAAGGCAATTTTGAATTAAACCGCACTGGTCAAAGAAAGTGGCTGAGTATAAAATGCAAATGGGAAACGAATTTATTTTCTTATAACAAGGTGTGTTCACGTTATTCCAAGGATGTCCTGCTCAGCTCTATATGGCACTAATCCTGTCGGATGCGGCGCCAACTCACCCGAAACTCGTCCGTGACCATTAAAATAATGTCAGTCTTCGTATATATACTGCCCTCGATCTTGATCCATATATTATATAATATTGACGGCTGGCAAACGTCGGCCACACCTCTTTTATACCTATATTTGTCTATAATATGATATTTGAGGTGCCTTAACATTTATGTGTTGTTTGTTCGCATTTGTCTATAATGTTTATATTTTTCGTTTTGTTTTGAGCAGATGTCGAAATACAGTGTGATGGGCTACGAACCCGCACTAGTGCTGGTGGCCACGTTGATAGCGATAATGGCCGTGTCCGTGGTCGCCGTGCCAGCCGCTCACCACCTGCACCACCACTCAGGCGGCCACCACCGGATGATGTCAAGCGGCGGCGCGGCCGGGTCGTCGTCACCGTCGTTGTCGGGCATCGATCACCCGCTCAGCAAGCGGTCGTTCTTCGACATCCAATGCAAGGGCGTGTACGACAAGACGATATTCGCCAGGCTGGACAGGGTGTGCGAAGACTGTTACAACCTGTTCCGGGAACCACAGCTCCACTCACTGTGCAGGTTCGCATCGCCTTCCCGTCCCCACCCCACACGTCCCCTTGCGACCCGTCACCCACACCGCTCCAATCATAACTATTTATTACGGTTTTTTGTAGCAAGTTCAAGTCCGCTACACCGTTTACGCGTCCGCTCGTTTTTCAAAAGCGGTTTTTTTTTCATTACGAAAACTGGTTAGCTATTTTCACTCGTAACAAACCTAATAATGTTATGTTGTTATGAAATTTCGCGATAACGCTCACTTTATATAACACGTACCTACCTACAACTCGCGTCTTGCACAATTATCATAATATTATATTGTACGGAGATAAGTAGTTATGAAGTGTACCTATACCCAATTAAATACGTAAACCTAAGGTTTTTTCTCTTTTAATACGCGACGGTTAAATACTGAAAAAACAAGCGTCTTTCGCATCATATTTTATATGAGGAGGAGCAGGAGGACTGCGTTAAGAGACATATGCTGCCGAATTTCACTTCAACGGCACACGTACTACCGGACAATCGAGGTGGATTGTTAGTTTGGTCTAAGAGGCCGTAACAATAAAAATCAAAGACAAGACTTACCCAGCGCAGAACAGTCTCTCAAACGCACCTCTTGACTCTTGTCTTGTATGTGTAGGTATACTTCATAGATTGTAAATGTAAGTCACTTCCGGTCGGTGGCGTACTCCCAAAACTATATCGTCGAAGATTTAAAGTATACTCACGCGTGCTATGTAACCGAGTAACCGACGCTCTATATCCGGGATCGCGTGTTTTCTCCGATATACATAATAACATTACACTTCCTGTCCGTTAGACAGACGTCGCAAACCGTAAATTAAAATGTGCTGTTGCACGTGAAACGGCACAGTGTTCGGACAAATAATAATATACATATAATAATAAGTAACGATATAAAATAAATAGGCACCACCTATAAAATATATCGCGTGCGTCGGTTTCGTTTAAAATAATAATAATATAATATATCGTCACGATTGCAGCCAGTGGCGTAGCCAGGAATTTTTAATGGGGGGGGGGCTAAGTATACAAATACAATGTGTTTTTTATTTACGCTTTTTATTTTTTTATTAATCTTGATAAAATTCTAAGGTCAATACCGTTCAATGGGGGGGGGGCTATAGCCCCCTTAGCCACCCCCTGGTTACGCCACTGATTGCAGCAGCTGCTGCCGGTTTGCACTCGACGAGCATCTGTGCGAAAAAACGCAATCGCAAAGATACAATAATAATATTTTCCATGCAACGATCCGAGAACCGCAAGCCGTGTCGCGGTATAAGTTGGTATATGTTAATTGGTCATATAAAGCATAAAAATCAGATAATATAAGACTCCTCAATTCGAGCTGCACTGCCTATCGGCGGCGTTGGTATTTTTCGAATAGATTTCATTAGTACAAATCGCATCGCGGGAGTGATGCGTTGAATTATTCGGTTTGTTTTTTATAAATCCACACGACCCCCCCCCCAAAAAAAAAATTCACTAGCCTTCGACGCGTTCAGTCGATGGTCGTACAGTGACACAATTACCTAACAAACAGTTGTTGGTTTTGCAGGAAAAATTGCTTCACGACAGATTTTTTCAAAGGATGTCTGGACGTGCTCCTGCTCGAGGACGAAGTGGAAAAGATACAGAAGTGGATTAAACAGTTGCACGGGGCCGATCCTGTCGGGGTTAGGGCTTAGGTATTATTATTTTTTTTTGTTTATCATAATTATTGTTGTTGTTATTATTTACTAACATTACCTAATCATTATTTTTAAGTTCTACCGATCCTATCCTTTGACCTTTTCTCGTCCTCGTCCTACATGGGCACGTAGGCGTTATGCGATTTAGGGCTCGGATGTCGTTGCACTTAAATGGAGTCAAACATTTTTGTATATTTCATTTTTGTAACGGAATCCAGTTGCTAGCGATCCAATGTACGAATAGATTAAATTTAAGTTGAACTTTTTGTAATATTAAAATGGCGGCAAAACACAATAATGGAATACGTCTTACCTACTTGCAAATATTATGCATTGTGATAAACAGTATTTACTGTTTTCAGTTTTTGTGGTATGAATGGTATGATAATACACATTTCAAAAATGTTTACCCACATGGCCACATCGTAAAGTAGGAAATTGTGTACAAATATACCTAATAATTCTTTTAATTACAAATAATCGTTGCATTATGTTTGTATACACCAAGGACTTGATTTGGATGATACTTAAACAGTTTTTAACAACATCCGAGCCTAATGGTAATGACTAATGCGATTATTAAAATAGACAACGTGTTCTCGGCTACTTAATTAGGTCAGTTTGTAAGCGAATTTATATCGTTTTTATAGTTTTTGTTTAATATTTCGAAAACGGAGTGGATTAATTGAAAAAAACCACTGATGTGTCGAAATACGTGAAACGCTGTACTTTGACGCTTAGAATGTTACAACAAAACCATTTATAAAATTATTACATTATAAAACGCACATTTAACATATCAATATAATGATTTATGAATTATGTAGCATTAAACCTTTGCGGGATATTATATTATTAAATCTGAAACTATGGAGTTTTGACTTTTGATTGAAAGCGTCTATTATTATTATCAGAAATCGACTAAAAATAAAATAATATTATAAAGAGAAGAGCCCGAGAAACGTACTTACGAACACAATTAGTCTGAATGATTTTTATTATTATTTTGAAGGGGTGGCAGGGAATAGATTGCACGACATATTCCATCTTAATTTTTGTTTATCTCACATAGTGTTTGCAAAAGTGATAATATGTTTTTTTTCATGTTTCTTCTTTGTTTTATTAAAGATTAAATAATGGCTCTGTTTTTACCACTTTTGTATTTTGTACCCTTAATACCGTTAATGATAAATTACTAACATAAATAATATTATTATTACACAACATTATTTGGAGAAATATTATCAATATATTTACCAATAGGAGCTTAATAGTCATATTTGTTTATTTTTTTTACAGATCTACATGCTTTAACACGGTATACTTTAAGGCTTGTTTGGAGTCTCGTCAAATGTTTACGGAGGAGACTCAATACAACCAGATGGTCGAGTTTTTGGGGAAGAAATAAAATATATAATAATACAATACAGTATATGTACTCCCCTACATATATTTTATTTATTTTTGGTTATTTATTTATAAACCAGACATTGGCCGTCAAAAAACCTATTCTAGTCTATTCAGAGAAAGCAACAGCATTACATACAAAATAATATCGAAGAAATATGTTTACTTTCCCTAGATGAATTTTTCTAATTTATTAAATAGATCATAAGATTTTGTTTTTAATTTTTGTTTATAAAACTTATTTAATTGTTTGTTTTTAATTTCTAAGAGTTGTATTATAAATTATATTATTATATATAAAAGAAAACAATTTTAATAACTTTTAATAAGAACTGTGTAATATTTTTTATTTTATATAAAAAGAAAAAACTGTTATTTTTTTTTTTGTATTTATTTAATTTAAAAATGAAATATAAGATGACAACTCTGATGACTTTATGACATATAGCCTTGTTTCACTAACAATATATTTTTAGCCTTTCGCTTTGAGATAAATAAAAAAAATATTTAGACTCTTTAAGCAGTTGTTTTGGTATTTCTAAAAAATAAGAAAAATTGGTTTTGAGTTCCCATTCCTATATAACTGATTTTATTGCAACAAAATCATATTTTATATTTTATAAATAAAAAAAAATTACAGATTTAATGTATAAGCTGGATTTTATATTACACTGTGACGAAAAAAAAAAATCATTACTGTCTAAATAGTTTCTACATTGTTGGAAATTATTGTGTTGGTAAGTTAAGAAGAATGTTTTGTCCTGGGGGGAAATATGAGACTTGTCTAGATCTTGATAGTTGATAAGCTATATCTTCTGCGGCTTCAATTCTTCTCAATTCAACCAAACCTTCACCTGCATCTCCAAATGATTTAGCTAACATTGAAGCAGCTTCCGAATCTCCTTGGGCAGAAATAATAGAAGCTTGTTTCTGCTGTTCAGCTTTTTCTACCAAAAATCTTGCTCTTTCTGCATCTTGTTGAGCCACTTGTTTCAATTCAACAGCTTGAGTGAACTCTTTACCGAATGTTAAATGGGTAATTGAAATATCGTCTAATACAACACCAAACTGTCCAGCACGTTCAATAAGAGTTTCGCTAACCTAATAATAAAACAAGTCATTAAATTTATAATAAAAAATAGTACATTCAAGAATTATTTATATTTACTTTACGTGAAACATTTTCCCTCTGGGTGATTAGTTCACCAGCATCAAACTGTGCCACTACAGCCTTTAAGACTTCAGTGGTGATTGAGGGTAAGACACGCTCATCATAATCTACACCTAAAATAGTGTATATTTTTGGCAATTGTTCTGGAAGGGGTCTAAACAATATTCTGAGTGTGATGTTAACATTTTGCAAATCTTTGCTGCCAGTGATGACAGGAACATTCCTGGGACGCGAGCGGACATCAAAAATGATTGGCTTCTGAACCCAGGGAATTAAAAAATGTGTTCCTTCTCCAACTACGGTATTCTTTATTCCTGTAAATCTGTCAAATATGACAGCTCGATGACCACCGTCAACATTATATAATGCTGTATTAGCTACACTGCCAGCTATTGCTAGGCCAAGGCCCAATTGACCGATTCGATTGAACAGTTGAGCGGCCATACTCTCAAAAATCTATTAAAATACACAATAATGAATTAAAATCATAAAAACAGTAATAATTAAATATATAGTAAATGTAATACAGTCGACCCTAAGCAACTTGAAATTCAAACAAAAAAAAAATTCCCCTTCAAATATAATCCGTCCAGTTCATCTTGGCCATCAGCAGCCATTAAGTTTACGATTACTATCTTATAATGTAAATTAATACCAACTGTGATGTCACTATGTCAGCCGATGACCAAGATGAAATGGATGGGTTATAACATTAATACATTAAGGTTTTGATAACTCAACATTTTTAGTACCAAAGTTGAATTTCTTTTCTCCGTGAACCTTGAGTTACAGAGAGTTGACTGTACTAGAAATTGAACCAAACATAGTTTCTAACCAATAACAGGTATAAATTATAGCAAAAATCTTGTATCTTACTAAAAAATATTCTAAGATATTTGGGGTTTAAAATAAAAATTTTATCTACCTATCTATAATATTTTTACTACGAACCATATTAACCAGGATTTTATAGCTTACTATTTATTTTCATCGTTCTTGACTTTCAGTAAAATAAACATCATATTATAACTGGGTTTAAAATATAATTATTTTTAATTTCAAAATCAAGTGGTGATCAAGGACTAAGATATATAATAATATATTAATATATTAACTTAGTCGTGAGGTGGTTATGTACAATCAGTTGAATGAAAGAATAAAAATTATTACACAATAATGGGTAAGATATAATATGAAACTTATGTTTTAGTCACACAAACATATCATTTAAGTTTTACTAAATCTTTAGTTAATAGATAGATAAGAAATAATATAAAACATTTATACCTTTTTTTTTCCTGATTAACCGACAGCAGAGGAGGTGAACAATGTGTGAATGATACTCATATATAATACTACTCCTCTGCTGCAATATTTATACCAATCTATAATAGATAAGATTTATTTTTATCTTTCCAACAAAGTAATTTGCAACTTTGTTAGAAACTTAGGTGTTATAATGCCTCGTCCTAGAAATATTTAGTTTGACTTTGATATATACTCAATTTTGCATGAAATCGTCTCAACAAAATATAAAAGAATAGGTACAGGCATTAACGCATACGTACATTGTTGGAACGCAATACTACAAAATAATATCTAGGTACCATAAAAGTCTACGCTCTCTACCCTACGCTAATATTACCTATTATATTAATGTACAAAACTTATAGAAAAGTTATTTATGTAAATATAACTAATTTACATGACCAAGACTTATAGTCATAATATATTATAAGTCTATATATTGCTAACTGATAGATAATCAGAAAGTGTCAATATGACACGAATCAATTGCGGTTCTAATAACTATAAATTAATTATGGAAATATTTATGCTTAGATCATACTTACGAGCTTCAGCCAATTCAACAAAAAGGCACAATTTTAATTTTCACTTTGGTCCACCGCTCAGCAGACGATTTTTCTTCAATTAAAAATGAGAAAGGATCGGCAGATTATATTTTATTTTACATGATTAATTTTTTAGGTTAGATTTTGGTAAAAGTTACTAACATCATTCTTATACCAAAAATAAAATACATCTTTATAAATTTTAAATGCTCAAAACATAGTATATTAATTTATTTTTTACGAATTTTTTATTGAAAACTTCATTATTCATACTCATTGATTGATAAATTTTAAGTTTCATTTATGTTTATTTAATTTTTAAACCAAAAATTGTACACTGATAAGACAATTTGTGCTGTGATAATAACGTGATTTATAAAATTGTAAATTGTTAGTAGCTTAATGATAAGAAAATCAAAATAGAAGATACAACATATTTTCAAGTTTGGAATTTCAAACCTATGCAATAATAAATTTAAGAGGGTTAAACTATTTGGACATTTAGTGAGTATACTCTTAAGTGTATTATTTTTGTTAAAAGTATTTGGTTGTGTTTATAAAATTGATTATAGTAATACTCATAACTTTCTACTGACAATAATGTCCATACAGTTATTTAATATTTAATTATTAAATCAAACTGATAGGTCATCACTGGGTGGCCTTTTTTCCTTAAATTAAATAACCCATATTCTTTTTCTCTTCTCGACCTGCATATAATTCTTATTATGTGCATAATTATGATGATATCATAACCATGATTATGTGTCTAAGAAAAAAAAATATTTATAAATCCAGTTTTGTAGTATAAAGATCTAAAACAAATAATATTTTATGAATTTACACAGTATGTATACTTACCTATTTTAAATGTAAAAATGTAATAATATTAAATTACTCATGTAAAATGTTAGGTAACTTCCTTCTAAAATGTATATTTTAAAAAACTTTTACATAAATTACTTAAATTAAACAATTTCTATTGACATTAATTTTGAATTATCTCATAATAATAAATCATTTTAACATGAACTTTAACTCTGATAAAATATCTGTAGACGAAAGAGAAATGTAATTAATTTAAAAAATGCATTAAATTTGTAATACATATACAATACAGTAAATTACTGTAAGAATGTTAAATTGTCTTTAAAACTATGAGGTATGTAATATTACTTATGTGTAATCTATTTCATTTGATTTCAGATTGTATTTAAAATTTTAAAATGAGTGACAAGCAAAAGAATGAAATAAACGATGAAGAAGATGAAGACGATTATATTGGGCCACCTATACCCAATGAATTAAAAGAATTGGAAAAAAGTACACAAAATATTTCTACAGATGATCATGATAAGGGAAATAAAGAATTTGAAAAGGTGACTCGTTCAAAAGACAATACTGATGACGACAATGACAGCAGCGATGATGACGATGATGATGATGATGATGATTCGAAACAAATTAAAATTCCTATAGAAAGTCAAGTGTCTTTAAATCATGGTATCAAAGCAGTCTCTGCACTTTGTATAGATCCTCCAGGAGTCAGGTTGGCTAGTGGATCCGTTGACTATGACGTAAGGCTTTGGGATTTTGCTGGTATGGACCAAACACTACAGAGTTTCCGAACTCTAACTCCTTGTGGCAACCATCCAATCAAGTTTTTAAAATACTCACCTACTGGAGACCGCCTTTTAGTAATTTCTGGCATGTCTCAAGCTAAAGTATTAGATAGAGATGGTCATGAATTATGGGAATGTGTCAAAGGGGACCAGTACATTTCAGACATGGTAATTGGTTCATAATATTATTAGGTAATCGTTAAATATGCTACCTACACAACATGTTTTGCTGAAGTATGCTACCTCATACCATTGATTATACATAGTAGGTATAATATTATAATACTATGTATAATCAATGCTAATACTTACAGGCTACAAACATATTATTTAATATTATATAATATTGTAATTTTTGATTTTTGTGTCGATTGATTGCAATTAGCGGACACACTGGTATATTAAGTTAGGTAATTAAATGATTATATAAGATTTAAGAAAACAAATAAATGGAATTAAAGCAAAGTAAGCAACAAGGCTACATCAGTAGCAGCTATAGGATGAATGGTGGCTTCGAATAAATTCAACTGATGAGTTTGAAGCGTTTTTTAAAGTAACATAAAGCTATAAAATATTTTTCAAATAAATTTGAACTTTTACGAAGTAATGCTTAAGAATTGTTTACTGAAAATAATTTAAACAAAATTAATTTATGATGTAGGTAGCAAACTTGAAGAGTAGTTATTTTTAATAAAAATTCATAGGGATTATATATACTATGATATTAAATAGATAATTATTTTTAATAGGTGCGTACCAAAGGCCATACATCTCCATTGACTTGTGGTACATGGCATCCGAGACAAAAAGAAGAATTTTTGACCAGTTCAGAAGATGGATCTTGTCGTATATGGGATATGACCAAAAAAGATAAACATAAGAGCATAATTAAATGTAGATCCAAAAATGGTTTGAGAACAATACCTACTACTTGCAACTATAGTAATGACGGCAAATTAGTTGCTTGCGCGTGTAGGGATGGATCAATTCTTGTTTGGGATACCAGAAAACCAAGTTTTGTGAACGCTACGTTTACAATTCGAGATGCTCATTTAAATAATTCAGATACCTCTTCTATTGTGTTTTCTTATAGAGACACATTAATATGTACACGTGGAGAAGGTATTGATGAAACAATGAAACTCTGGGACATAAGGGCCTTTAAGAAGCCTATACATGTAGTGGATGGGCTGTATTCTAGGTATGTGAATAGTATTATTGTTAAGTTTTATAATATGAATTCATGAATGTATCATTAAATAATATCTTGTGTTTAAATTGTATAGGTATTCTACGACTGACTGCTGTTTTAGCCCAGATGATTCAATAGTAGTGACTGGTCACTCGGTACGTCCCAAAGAACAAGGAGGACATTTAATGTTTTATAATACGAATACGTTTGAACTTCTTGAAAAAGTGAAAGTTTCTGAAACACATTCCATAAAGGTGTATTGGCACCCTAAGCTTAAACAGTTATTCGCAGGTTGTGGTGACGGAACTGTGAAAGTGTTCTACGACAAAGTAAATAGCCAAAGAGGTGCAATGCTATGCGCTTCGAAAGCCCATACTAAAACCAAACAAATGGAAATGGTACCGACACAACAAATCATAACACCTCACGCACTACCTATGTTTAGACAAGACAGAAATAAATCATTGAAAAAACGAAATGAAAAAGATAGATTGGATCCAGTTAAATCAAAGAGGCCAGATTTACCAATCAAGTCTGGCCAAGGTGGTCGTGTTGCTGCATCAGGTAGCACCCTTAGCTCATATGTTATTCGTAATTTGGGATTAAGCAAACGAGTAGAAGATGATCAAGATCCACGAGAGGCAATTTTGAAGTATGCTCAAGATGCAGCTGATAATCCATATTGGATTACCCCTGCGTATGCTAAAACACAGCCAAAAGCTGTCCTAAAAGAATCAGAAGATGAACCACAAGAAAAGAAAATTAAATTTGCTATCGGACAACCCAAAGAGTAATAAGGAATAACTGTTGACATACATTTTCCAAAAAATACAATAATTTTATTATTTTTAACACTACAATAAAATTTTAGTTATTGCTTCTATGTGAAATACATTCAGTCCAAGAATAATAACAATACAATAATGTATTTAATATTTTAATGAAACATCATATATTCTTAAGACAACTTATAAAGTCAGAATTATGTAAAAACGTGTAATTGTGAATAATTATAAGTTTTTCTAGTTAGTAACTAATTCACCTACTTGTATAAAATAGTATTTATTATTATAATTAATTTATAAAAAATGTTTTATTAAATTCTTCTTGATTGTCGTCTGAATGAGCAATGCTGTTGGCCTCTAGTCGCATAATGTTGAGATGTTCTACTGGAAACTGAATCCCCTGTAACGACTAATTGAACTGATTCAGTTAAACCTCTATTTTGAATTCTTGTGTCCCATTCTTGACTTAAGCGCCTATTTCAAATAAACACTCGCCATTAAGAATAATTATAAACTCATGATTAAAACGTGATCGCTAATCAATCATACCTTCGAGCCTTGTGGATTAATAGTTGCGTGTCAATTGTCTCGATGTATTTGCTCTCGGCTGACAAGGCAGACTCTGTTCGTGAAACGTCTGCAGAGAACATGTCCCTAGGCTAAACAAGAATTCCTATATGTGTACAGAAAAATTTTTAAATTTAATGATTTACCGTCGATTGTGTTCTTTTCATATTTCTATAAGGTTTGCGCATGTAGTTGGTCTTCCTTTGTAAAGCTAATCTCCTGGCATCCAGTTTATTTTCGTCTAAAAATTGTTTTATATGCTCAACAAAAACATGATACTCTTCTATATTAATTGCAATTACCATGCAGGTCAAAATGTTCAGATGTTTTTATGCCTGCCTTATCCGGTAGTAGTGAAACCTTCATGTGCATGTTATTTGGACCATCCACGCTTACACACCAACCATTTGTTGCTGCTGCTGTATAAATCAACCACATTGTTTAATTAGTTTGCAAGGAATGAGAATAATTGTTTTATAACTAAACAAAAAAAAAAAAGAATACCAGTTAAAGTTTAAGGGCCTTTATATTAAGTACCTATTAATATTTAATACCCTTAAGTACTTACTATGGGAAATTGAAGTAAGTACTTAAACATATTTTTATAATAAGTAATTTATAGTAAAAAAATATGTACCTATGATATATTTATATTTTATATTACGTATATTATAATACTGATTATTATTTATTCCTATGCACTATATACCATAATATAATGGTGTGAAGTTATTATCATATTAGGAATGAGAATATCTAGGTATTTCAAATCAAAATGGGGTACAATGACAAATCATTTGGAAATGCATTTCTAAATCAAATTTTTATCCATCTAAATTATATCATTTTTCATTTTAATTTTTATACATCCCTATATTGATAGGTATTAGGTATTTAGGTAAATAGGTAACAATAATACAATTTAATTGATTTAACATTTAAAATTGTTGTAAAACAAAAAAGTTAATAAATTGATTAGTTTGGTACGTAGGTAGGTTAGGTTGGTACCTTTACTTATTGAAATATCTATTTAAACTATATAGTTAAGCTTTTAAAATTGTAAATAACCTATATTTGGATAAATGTCTGTAGATTTGTTTACTTAATATTAATGTACACACATATTATTTATTATCTTATTTTTTCAGGAAATAAATAATAACGAACAACAAATGTAAGCAATACAGATTTTCAACACGGTCAAGTGAGTGGTTCCGTATCCATTTTTTTTTTTAAATCGCTGTAAAAATCGGTCAAATTTGGTATACAGTAGACGCCGCTTATAAGACTTACCTACGGATAAAAGGGTCAGTCGCTTATTAGACTCGAAATCGCCTGGTCCGGACGTATCCATTAAAAAAATTCTGTTATAAGACTCAAATTTCGTAAGAAAAACCGTAGAAAATAAACTTTTGTGTTGGTTATTACTTATTAGTTACCTATTTCCGATTTCTAATCATGCCATATGGTAGGTATAATATTATAATTTAAGTACTATACCTATAGGTACAACAAATTTTATCGAAATTATTATCTCCATAGACTCCATATAGTTTTAAGCGTTCCATATATAATTTTATGTATAATGTCTATTGTCTAATGTATATTATAAAATCATAATTTGTTAAAGGGGACGCTTTTTAACAGCCGTCAGAGGTAGGGGGACTGAGTCCTCCTGCGCCCCCCTCACTTTAATCTCTGGTAGGTACCTACTTATATATTGTATGTATTGTATTTATTTTATAATATGTAATATCATATAATATTTAACAGTTATTATTAATTAAAATGTTTTTTAGCACTTTGCCTATAAAATTCAATCGGTATACTGGTCCAAATTATGTGAGTCTTATAAGCAGTGTCTACTTATTCCTATTTTATCGCTCAATTTTCTAAAGTAATTGGATCCGTGCCACGTATGCACTAAACGATTAAACTATCCCATAGTGAAATTCCATTCAATTTCAGTGGTTTTTGAAGAGAATAAGTGTAACAACATGAAAAGCAACCCTACGTTTTTGAAATTGTTAGGTATAATAATATTATGTAAAAAATATTGTGTGTATGTATGCGGTTACCTACCGATGTATCGCGAGTTTCTCTTAAAATGGTGCAATACGATCACTGTTGGACCACATAACAAATTTACATATTAATTATTAATATGTAGGTACAGATACTTATTTAAGTACATAGTAAGATGTGTCTTATTAATGATTTCTTGCGTGTTCAAGTGGTATACGATACACATTTGTATTGTAATTTAATAATTTAGTTATCTATACATTATATTCCTATGTTTAATAAAACTTACCTTGGTAATAATAATATTGTGTAGGTACCTACTACCTACCTATACATTATTAACTATCTATGTTTTGAGGAGAATATAAAAAATAGGATGAGGTATAAATATATAGATTGGAGACAAACGTCAGGTAAATTGACTTTTGTGTAAAAAAGAAGATGCCTATAATTTTAAAAAGGTTAGATTTTTAAAGACAGCAGCGAGGCCAATAATATTATATAGGTTGGAGTCTTTGGAAGTAGGTAGATAGGAATAAAAGAGTATGAAATCAATGTAGTGGAAACGAGAATGAGGAATATCGTGGATATATGGTGTGAATAGAGAGGATAGAATAAGAAATGTTTACATTACTACCTCGTAACTGTACCTACTACCTAGGTAGTATAGGAGTTACATCAATTGTGGATAAAATGAGAGGGAATAGGTTGAGATGGTTCGGGTATATCATGAAATACGAGGAGAGATGATTCAATTCAGTAGCAGTGTGACTGTGTGAGTGTTGTTATGGAAAAAAAAAGATAGGGAGAGCAATACAACCGAAGAAGAGATTTATATAAATGGAATAGATATTAATAAGTTACACTAAAATAGCTGGCGTGACTGCGTAAGTGTACTAGAGGTAAAATAAGAGTACCTACCTAATAATGAACATAATATTAACTATTAAGTATATTCATGTTTCATGCATATTGATTATTGCTCCTACAGTCCTACACGGATGAAATTAAAAATATATTTAACAAACTTATAATAAATATTATCAAAGGTATGAAAACAATTGACTCAATTTAAGTTAATTTAAGAGGACACATGATCAAGAGGTTAAAAGTTAACAACTAATGAACTAACAAATCATAAATTTAACTCGTTAAGTTAAAAGTTAATATGGGAAAAATATTAACATAACAAAAAAAAAATCTACTTTTTAAAATGATTATGTGGATTACATAAAGAGTGACTGCGTCCTTTCTAATTTCCTAAATTATAATAAACAATTTTTTTTCATTTTAAATTTAATGTAGGGTGTATGACGTATGTACCTAATTTACTTTATGTCTTTATATGATTATTATTAAACCATACCAACACGACAACACATCCCAATTTCCAATTAATAATCTAAGAATATAACAAAATATTAGAGTTTTTTATATCAAACAGAAATTTAAGGTCTTATTATATTATGACTATCTAATCTACTAAAATATATCTATTTACAAAATTATTTTATCAAGAAAAATAATAGAAATGTTTGTTTTATTATAATAAGGGATTGTTTTAATTTTAGTATTAATATTTAAGTATAAAAACATAAAAGGACAACTTTCAAAAATGTTTAACTTAATGGATTATTTTAAAATAAATTCGGGAAAGTTAAGTTTTTTCAACTGTCAGTTAGACTAGTTAAGTCTAGTTAAGTGATTAAAAAATTAACTAGGTAACTATAGTAAGGTTAAAAATTTAAAAAAAATATTATTTATACTATATTTATTTTAACTTTTTAACTAGTTAATGCCCCCATCTTCGATATATTTCACTTTCCTTGTTTTGAGTATTTTTCGAATACCCATTAGGTACATTAAACTAATATAACTTATATGAATAATTTATGTTATGTACAAATAAGTAAACAATTTAAACGTTACCCAAATGCGTTGGACAATGATGATTGTTATTGGTTTCTGTCTGCACGAGTTTAGGTAAATGTTTGGTCGTAGTGCTAGACGTCTTCGGCAATTGCAGATTATTATTTCGATGAGTTACGTGTACTACAGGCAATGTCACGGCAGGTTCGGGGATGGCTTGCACGTGTACAGTGTATTGTTGGCTGTCGTCCTCGGCTTTGACCTCATCGTCGTTATCGTTAAATTCGACTACAGTAGAAAACAAGAGTTTTGAGTTGTATGAATATAGGTATTGTTTAAGATTTTAAATATAAGATTTTGTTAACAAAACTTATAGGTAGGTAGGTAAAGGCGTTTTAAACGTTTTTTTTAAAAAAAAATTCCCTACTACATTCGAGTTTTTGTCAATTTTAATGCTAACTAATACCTATATAAAGAATGATTTTTTAAGCGTGCTCACCCCCATTTTTCCTTTTAATAGTACAATTATTCAAATTCTGATTTATAGAATTTTGAGTATACCTACCTAAAGTCCATATTTTCAAATTCCTGATATTTTTTGTACTACCTTAAAGAAGGTCTTGTGGCGATACAACATCTATTTTCAAAATAAGAAACCCCCGACCCTTTCCCTTTTCCTGAAAATGATGTAATGATTGATGTATCTAAATCAAAATTCTAATAGTAGTTTCTGATTTATTAAATTATTTATACTAAGGATAATAATCCTTAAAAATGGTTTTCCAAAGTATAAACTATAATATTATGTAATATTTATTATACTTGGACCATTTTTACAAATTATTTATATTGAAAGAACAATAGTAATTACTAAAATGTTGAAATCATCTAAGCCCTCATATCTTCTTAACCCATTACCATAGATATATATATTATCCTTAGTTCACAAAGTTATACAACTTTTAACTAGTTCAAATTTTGATTTAGATACATGAAAATTCTCAAAAAAAATATCTGCCGAATTTTTTAAAGTGAAAAACTTCTCCCTTTTTCTCCCTTTCTGTCCAATTTTAAAAACAGAAGTTAGAAAGATTTTCATTTAAAAAATTTCGAAAATCAGAATTTGAATATATAAGCATAATTTAGTATACAAATAGGACGAGCATATTTAAAAAATTATTCTGCAGGTATAATAATTAAAAACTATATTATGACTTATAGGCTATAAATTAAATGCGCCTGTTTGACATTAATTTTTAACGAATTTTGTGTTTGTTGCAGATTTATTCATCAAAAATAACAAGTAGGTATTTTTTCAATATAATATTATAATTTTCGGACCACTGATTACTGATTAAAAAAAAAAATATTAACTGTTGCTAGATTCAAGATGAAGCTAACGGGTTATGCTAATAATGTTTATTATACTCGTACCTTGTGCTTCCGCGTCCGCACTGTCGGCCCTGAGCGTGTAAAAGTTGATCCAACCCTTGGACAGCGTGAGAAGTTGATCGTTTTTGGCACCGTCCAAAGCTTCTTTTCCCTTGCAGTACTTGTTCTGCCTGACCACACCCACCATCAGAGCATTGTCAGCGGTAAATTTTTTCATTGCGAGCATCTGGTTCTTGCTCTGTCTCCCGGCCGCCGAGCAGCAGTCTGGCGTTTCCCGTCCTGCGGCCACGTCCCTAGTCGTCTGGGTATGCCGGTTCGCTGGTGGGTGTTCTGTCTGGTTGCCTTCTGACACCATTTTCCGGCCGCCGACCAACCGGATCTGGTTCTCTGACACGTGGTTGCGCCCCAGACCGGCCAGCAGCGTCTCCAGCGCCCTGCGGTCGTCCATGTTGGCTGTGGAGCCCCGCTGCACCTGCACCCCCTTCTCGACGGTCCACAGCGTCTGGCACCCCTTGTGACGGGAACGGACTCGTACCGCCGCCGTAGACTTCCGAACCGTCGTCGACACGTGCAGGTGTTTCTTGAGCAGACTCTGCCGCCGGTTAAGTCGGCTCTCCAGCGTGCCCGGCATCTTCAGAGTGAACGTGACGGCCGACTTTTGGCCGTCGAGTGCCAAGAAATATGACACAGCCGTTCCCTCGTACTTGCACCCATCTTCCAGGCTGTCAGTGAGACTCTCATCGTCGTCGTCATCGTCATCATCATCATCGTCGGTGATGTCTGCGGTACATTTCCTATCACCACCGCCTCCGTACGTACGTTTGCAATCCAGATGCGAATAGTAAGGAAGCTGCGCCGTCGAGCTTTGATGGGATTCGTGGTCCGCGAATACTGTGCAATCCTCGTCCCTGGGGCTGTGACCGCCAGTTTTGGGTGCGTGCTCGCTGCGATAGTAATCGTACCGGTAGTCGGGTTTCGACAAGAAGTTGACTTTTTTCGGATCGTTGTCGTAGTATCTGCGACCGTACTCGGCGCGTTCTCCGTACCTCTGCGGAGGTTTCTTGCTACGGTTGAACGAGTCACCGAACAGACACCCGCCCACGTAGTTCGACTCCTGCTGCTGCTGTTGCTTTGATGTTTCCGTCGCCTCATCCACAGACTCCAGTCTCCGTTTCGACTCCTGATGCCGATTCTTTCCGGCGTCGTACGAGTGACCGCCGCCGTGGTCATGGCCGTCGGTGCCGTATACTTCAGACCTCCCAGCCACGTTTTTTTTCATATCTCCATTGGCGCATCCCCGACAGTCGTTCGTTACATCCCGCTCACGGACACAACGTCTGTCACCGTCTTGAGGTCCGTTCGTCCGCTTTCCGAAGGGTTCGTAACCGTGTTGCTGGTGGTCGTTCACTGCGTTCCGAGGCACAGCAGTAGTATCTTTCGCGTTCGCCACCGCAGATCCGCGATCGACCGTGTTCGAGTGCTGTGCATTTGTCGCGCCCGACGACGACCCTTGTAACAAACGACTGCCGGGGTGACGAGGATCGGCGTCCCGGCTGTCGTCCCGTTTGCGGCTCATATTGTCGTCGAGTCTATTGGGCATGTTGCGCTTGTTGGCGTTCGATTGCACGGTTTGTCCGTTTTCATGTTGCCCCTCGCGATGATTCCTCTCCGTTGCACCCGCAGCCGCACGTCTTCCGGACGACTCTGAACGTTGCATCTCGTTACGACGCCGCGACGCCAAGATCTCTGCCGCAGCCGTATCCTCGTCCGACTGCAGACGCCGATCCGATGGGACGGTAAGAAGGTTGTTCACGATTGATCGGTGCTGTTCTGTAGCAGTGGTTTCGGCGTTTATCGTGCCGAAGTGCTCAGCTGCAATAGGCTCGGCAACGTTTGCGTGCGTATTATCGCTTTCGATTGGTCTCAAATCGTTTTGTCGACCCACCAGCACCGATTCCGTGTCGTCGAGTTTCGGCGACTGATTCGAAACGGTACGGCTGGATTCTATTATTTGATGGTTTTGTGTCAACTGCTCATAATTTCGTTCGTCGGATTGTAATGGCATGTCGTCGTCATCGTCCGTGCGTGCGTGCAATTCGAGCTCATCGCCCTCTTCCCTCCCTCCGGCTTCACCCAAAGTATCAATAGTTTTATTTACTGCCGTCGGCGGTGCAGGCTTTTCGAACGCGTTGGCGCCGTTGTCTTTTCCCGAAACGCAAAATTCTTCGGTGTTCCATACGGTTTCGTGTTGGCCATTTCCCAGCTCTTCGGCACTCACGACCGTTACGATATTGGTCGCTGGGTTGAGGTTTTCGTCAACCGGCCAACGGTACCGGACCGACGAAGACGACGATGGAGACGAGGTAGATGGTGGTGACAGTGGTGGTTCACTAGCGGTTTGGTCGTCGTCGTCGGTGGCCGTCATCTCGCAGGTTCCACTATCAGTGGCGGTCTCACAGGTTCGATGGTTGGTGGCCGTCTCGCTGGTCCGGCGGTCGGTAGCCGTCTCAATATTACATTGGTTTTTGGCCGTCTCAACGGTACTTTGGTTGGTGGCCGTCTCGATGGTACCTTGGTCGGTTGCCGTATCGCATGTACTACGGTCAGTTGCCGTATCGCATGTACTACGGTCAGTTGCCGTATCGCATGTACCACGGTCGGCCACCGCTTCGTCCTTTGATCGACGTACGTCGGTACAGCGTTCGGCGACCAGACGCCGTTCGCCAGCCACGCCAGTAGTGGACGTGGATGCAGCAGGCCCGTTCGGTTTGCCGCCTAGCGTCACGGACACCGATTCACCGGTTAGGCACCGTTCGTTTTGGCACGCGCCAGCTGATGTGAACACCAACGACGGGCCGGTGTCTCGATCGGTGTCGGACGTGGCCGTCACCGATGACCGGGCAGAGTCGGCTGACACGTAGTGCACGCTGAATCGGTGGCTCTCGGTGTGTGACACGTAACCCCCATCCAACGGGTGCCGGAGAACACTCTCGCAGCTGAACACTATAGGGAAACCGGGTTCGGTGAATGTGGTGGACGTGGACACTGTCCTAGTGCCGGACTCCGTGGTGGCCGTCATCGTGGACGTGGCGTCAACCGGCTGTCGTCGGCCGAACGTCATGTCGAGCGTGGTATCGGCCGTGTCGCTGGTCCCGGGCGTCGATTGCAGTGGTTTGCGGTCCGACGGCTGTGGTGCTGTCGCTTGAAATCTTGGTGAGTAGATTTTCGGAGCTGATTTGGCCCGGAAGTATGCAGCCGCCAGTTTCCGGTCACCACTCCCGTCGCCACTACTGCCCGTCGACTGTGGCCTGGTCAGTCTGGCCAGTCTCGTCCTTACGTCGTCAGGCCTTTCAGCTTCCGGTCGCGCATCCCTGGTCGGTATCTTGGGCAGTTTGACGGCTACGCTGACTTTGTTGGTGGCCACCGGTCTTTCCGTTTCCGCTGTCTTGTCCGGCCACAGTTTCGGCAACACGCTACTGTCTCGGCGGCGTCCGTCGTCCGTCGAGGTAGTCGCCGACGACGGTTGGGGTAACGATATCTTGCGCTTGTACACGTGCTTGAACTTTTGGCAGCCTTTGAACGCCGCGAACGACAGCCTCCTCCTCTCGCAGTGTACCGCCACCGACCGGACCTTCGGCCTTTTTGACGGCTTTTTGTACGCCCTCAACGCCGCCACCGTTGCCTCCGAACTAACTGCATCCGACTCGTTTTGCGAGCTCGTGTTACCCGTGGGCCTTTGCAAGTATTTGTCCAATCCCAAGATGTCGGTCTGACACGATTTGTTTGATATCGGCTGTCCGGGCGGGACGTCGTCGTTGCGTTGTTGATATCTGAGCGCGTGTCTTCTCATCGCCAATTCCGGCGTCGAGTACCGCCGAGGAAAAAATCTCGGTGGGTCCGACGGCGTCTTTTGCAGGCATGATTTTTTAGTCGACGACTGGCCGCTGAAAATTGAAAGGAAAAAATAAGATCTAGGGTATAGTTTTGTATGTGATGGCTGGTTCCTGGTTCCTGATGCTTGGGTGAGGGGGGGGCAAGGTATGTTTTTCTTTGAATAATTAAATGTATTTTAATAACTCAAAACACAGTGTTGGCGCGTGTGGCATGCAGTCTTACCTTTCCAACGATATGCAGCGATGGTGTTTTTTCGGAAACAGACCAGCCTTCGAGAAGACATCCATGTCGTGAGTGTCGATACTGGAAAAAACATATATATGTTTCACAAAAAGTCAATATAGCACCTCCTATACGCGATTGCGATGCCTATCCGGAATAGGATTGCAATATCCACTGCGTGATCGCTTTCGAGAGGAGCTTCGCGGCACAGAAACGAACGGAACACGCGACAACGTTCTTATGCCATTTTACACGAGTGATGAGCATCTCGGGATACAATATGTTGTTACTCGCCCTATATAGTCTGTTGTTGTTTCGACTCGCGTTATAAATATATATATTTTGTTTTTCCGTATCGGCGTTATCGTCTCCGCCGGGAGATTGTCCAGATGTGCGTGTGAAACAATACAACGAAATGTATTTATAAAAGAGCTGGAAAGCGCGTGCGGCCTGGAGGAAGTGGCGCCAGCTTATATACATCGTATGATACAGACGCAGCAGTAAGTATACATAATATCATGATATTACTATTATTGTTATTATTATTATCGTTATTCGTGTCGGATCGACAAAAAACAATAATAATATTATAATAGTGTAAATATTTAGCGCATCTGACGAGTGATGGTGTAAACTACTAATTATGACACATATAAATTACATATACAGGTTAGTGTAGATACCTTTAAAGTATAGGTATAACATCAATATATGTGGGTTTCAAAGAAATTCTGCTAGTGCGCGCGCGTGTGTAATAATTTAGTGAGACTTGAGGAAACCATCCATTGATTGACCTATATTGACCCGTCGTGTATACAACAAATTTTAAACCACAGTCAGTCGTGCTGCGGACATTTTCTATACTATTTTGTTATTTTACTACAACAGTATACCTATGCAGAGAGGTATCGCGCACGAGGTCATCGAGCGGTGTCTTTATCTTTAAAAAAACAAAAATGGCGTTTCTAAACAACGGAAGACGCCGCTGCAGTAAAATATCGTCGCAGGAAGTAGGAATACCCATTTATGTTGTAGGTACGTGCGGTGGTTTTATGTTTAGGTATATCCGAGTATATGTATATAAATATATTGCATGTACACGGCGGTCATTTTATACGATATATCGCCGTCTTAACCGAAGATTTTAAGACCGAACAACGCCGCTTTGTTACTTAACTATTCGCGACCCAAATATAATAAACGGACGAAAAAACAACTCTATGATATTACACAACTGTGGCCCGTTACCAAGTGCACGGTGACGAGGTTAATGTACTCGCGTCACGAAATCAAAAGTCTGCGTAGCGGGTTCATCCATCAATCTTTTTCGTATATATATATATCGTATCGTATCGCATATATTTATTAATATTTTTTTCTCGAGACATTCCCTTACAACCGCGACGAATACGATTTAATATATATATACACTGCAGGTACCTCTATACGATTCCATATAGGTATATGCATTTTTCAAAGCTCTGCCATTTCGTTTAATGTCAATAATAGAGCTGCAGTATACTAAATAATAATAGTAATAATATAGGTAGGCGTATTGCGTGGCGGTGGTAATCAGTCGCACGGCGTGTAATGCGCATAAAAATATGTCCCGTTCGCAATATTCTTTTAAAGCGCACGGAAACACAATTACCACTATACTAATATAATAATAAGAGCAATGCCATTTTGTATACAGGTATACGAAAAAATAATAATATATAATACAATATCAATCGGAAAGGTTTCCGTGTCGTTCGACAGTAAGCCGCGGTACGGTATGCGCGTAAAACAAAAGATAATAATAAATTATGACGATTGCGATGTCGCCCGAGAAGAAAAGAAGAAGATATCGTAATAAAGATAATAGGCATAATATATCTATATATATAATATAAATATCATAAAATTTAACTTACCTATGAACGGCTAAACGTCAAACAGAACGACTGCGACGAAAACTGACGGCGCCGCACAACATTATAGTTTGGCATTTCGTGTGTCGTGTAACTACAAATCGCATGAGGCTAAAACGATATCGTATAATATGTGCTCTATAGCAGGCTGGACGCACTGCAAACGGTTAACATTTAAACTCGAAAATCTTAAGCTGACGTAAAAAATGCTCCTCTACTGCAGCAGACTCCGAGGAGACGACGACGCACCAGCCCGACTCTTTTGACAGTGACGATCGACCGCGACGACGACGACGATCATCGTCGAAATCCGTCCGCGATCGTTTGTCAGCTGTGCAGTAATATTATACGCTATTATAACGCCGTCGTGTTTAGGGGTAAAGACGCCTTAATATTAAATAGTCTGTATACGTCATCGTCGTCGTACTCGTCCCGAGGTCAAAAACGTATAAAGTGTGTGCCCACGTGGGGGACGGCGGCGACTCTCTTCGGCCGATCGATATATATGGTAATAATAATAATAAAAATGAACCACTACTACACGGTAGCCCCCCCCCCCACCGTCAGCGTATATAATTATCGGCACCGACTACTGCAGGACACTATCGTTGTTAGTGCAGTTATTACTAATTTATTATTTTATGTATTAATTTTAAGTTAATATAATATGAGAACCTCTCCCCCAGCACGAGCTTTGCTTTTAGGGGGTGCTGCAACTAATTAATTTACGTATTTATATAATGTGTGATGTGTCCCGTGTTGTTTTGCAAAATAAAGTATTATTATTATTAATATATATGATAAAAAACTCGTGTTTCGCGTATTTAAAAAAAACGATGTAGTGAGTGCAGTTTATACAATATACGACGGTTGTTTCTCTTACCTGCCGGCTACCGACTTGATGGTTTTCGGGTTTTCACACCGTCGTCCACCGGCGCCTGGCCGCCGCTGCACACGACGATTTACCGTCGTCGCCCGTCGGGACGTTGTGCGCGCGGGTCCGCCGGTGCACGCCACGGGCCAGTAGTAATCGGCTGCGGTGCACGCGCTTTTTGGTGCGGCGGTGCACGCGCTTTTCGGCAAGCCGCGTCACGGCGGTGCAACGCCGCCGGCGACGCGTGTGTTTCGGCGTGCGTGTGCGTAGTGCGTGCGCGTGGGTATCACGGTGTATACAGGGTGTCGCGAAGAGCACGCGGTATGCGTGTGGAGGCATACGCCGCGGCGGGGGGCTGAAATCTGATAGGCGTTCGTATGGACAACTTTGGGCAATCGGTTCAAAATTAAATTAAAAAAAATTTAAAATGCAAAATATATAAATGGCATTCATTCGTCGCCGTCTGAGTCTGAACACACCAATGGCATTATACCTATAAGCCTCACACTCACCCCCTTTCAGAATATGTTATTTAAATTCGCCACTGTTACTGCACGAGACACATTAATATTTACGTACTCCTCGTTTAGAAAATACCCTCTTTTTTCAAATTCAATCCAAAATATTATATACAACGCATTATCTCGATCTCTCTAGTCGGTGGTTGTTGTTTTTGATATTTTACTTTTAATTGGTATTTTGCACTGTAAATAAAATGTATTAGAAATATATGCGACCGACAAACCGCAGAGTGACGCCTAAATTTAAAAATGTTTAATATAGATACCTATTTTCGCACTTTTTCGGTAGGTGCTCGCAGATGCCAAATTTGAATGCGCGTACATGGATCAATACGTCAAGGTGTCCGGAACTTTACGAACACCTCGTATTTCATGATATATAGTACACGCATTATTATTATACTATATTGTGTGTGCGTAAGCACGGATCCGTATTATAAATAGACGCGGAAACATTGCCGAGACGGCGACGAATCGAAGACGACGATCATTTATCACGACACCTCCGCCCCAGTCAGGGTGCGCGGATCCGGAGACGCATTACGCAATGGCAGACGGTTTTATGGTTATATGCATTCGGAAACCTCGACCGCGACCGAAATAATATAGTGTGAAAATTGCCCGTGAATAACTCCGACGACGACGACGACGTCTACTTCAAGTTTCCGTAAAAATCGATTTGATAACCTCCGGGGACCGCGTGAATACGCAGACGTTTTTTAAGCCAAACATGCCATCACGCGCAGTATGGGTAGAGCAGGAACGGCAGGAACATTTTTCATGTAAGGCGAGGGGGCGATAAATAAAGATATATAAAGAGCATAACTGTACACGATTGCTATAAGATAATATTTTTTTTATTTTATAGGAAGTAGAACACCCCTACAAATATATTTTCATAACTATATAGGCTACAGCTGATTGCACTGCCTCTTGCTCGCATCGCTCACCTTTAGCCCTTCAATATTTTTTATTACAACCTGAAAGTTTATCTCTCTATTCTAGAAAAAAAATTCTCTCTTTCGTGATATCTGAAGCATCCTTCTATATACATCTTTAAAATGTATCTAGACACTAATACCTATTGGGTGCCCTTGTCTAATGTAGTCTATTATTTGACGCAAAACGATTTCTTTTTAACTTTTTTTTATTATAATATATAGACTATAGAGATATTACAATTGTATTTATTTATTTCTATAAGTTACTTAAGTTTAACATAAATACTTATATTTTCATTGAAACAATAAACATATTTATTTTTTAGCAAAAAAAAAAAGGTTAGGAATCGTTGTACATTTATTATACTAAAACTGTTAAACATTATGTAGTAGGTATATAATTATAACAATACTGGTTAATATATTATATTAAAGTAATAAACTCTTATTTCTTTACCTGCTATTTATTATATTAATCAAATAATCTGACAACTGTGACAAGTGACAACCCTTATATAAAGTTTTTCAATATAAAGTTAGCTTTAAAGCTGGTTACAAAATAGGCGTTTTGGACACCGTGTTTCGAACTGTTAAAATTAAACAGCATATTATATATAGCCATGTTCACAGGAAGGAAATATAATATTGTGAATAAAATATAACGTTTTAAAAATCCGTAACCACAACTCACAAGTCACAAGTATTCAGGACTGAATGGTGGAATTTCTCAACGATTCGATATGATTAATTTTCTCGAAGAAATCAATAAAATAATAATAATATTATTTGCTCGCATTCCTATATAGTTTCTTATAG